AAAAAATCTTGCATGCTTCAAAAATATATATATGAAAAAAAACCACATACATGCTTAAATTATTGTAACACACTGTGATTCACAAAATAATATTTTGAGCATAACTTTTTTTTAATACATAAGTATGCATTAGTGTTTGCCACATATGCATGGCAAAGTCTAAATTAATGTTATATATGCAATTTTTTGCATTGCATCTTCATGTTAAATGTTTTTTGACACATCAGCAGGGTTTAGAGTTTGGGTTAGAGTTTTAGGTGTGATGTTTTTCAGCATATTTTAAGTGCTTTTCAAATGCCATGGGTTGAGTTTACTATTACTGCATACTTTGGGCACTCTCCTTGGTAAGGGTAATGAAAAATGCTTTACAAGTAAGTAATTTTGCAATGAATGAAGAAATTTTTGCGTAGATAAGTTAGAATGAAGGATCTTAACTCCTTGTTTTGAATGGACCAATGTAAATTGCACTAGTATCTAAAGATTATAAATGTATCCTCTCAAGAGTGTTATAGTAGTTCAAGTGCTTTTTGAAGAGCTTCTCCTCCAATGTGAGAACTTGATAACATATGTTTATGGCAAATTAAAAGATGTAGAATATAGAGTGAGTTAGAAAGTAATAAGAGCTGTGATAGCCTATATTTGCCCAAAGTGAGTTTTATGAAGGTGGCAATAAGTTTCCCTTACCACATCTAAATGGTCTTGATGCAACTTTTGTTTTAAAATTTATTGCACGATGTGTCAATAGATATGTCAATTGTAATATTTTCACTAGTGTTGAATTTAATTTCTCATGTTTTCTTGGCTTTAACAGCCTTTTTAGGTAGTACTATTTTCCTTTTCTACAAGAGAAGACATTTTGTTAGTTAAACTAAACAAAAATAATAAAAAATTCAAATAGTAAAAGAAAAAAAGAAAAAATATCAAGTACCTCAGGCACTTTGGCTACTCGAGAGGCTAAGGTTGTTTGAATAACCTTGGGTGGCTAAAGTGCCCGAGGTGGCTAGCCCAAACTTGATCTTATGCACTTTAGTGGCTAGAGGGGCCGAGGTTATTTGAATAACCTTGGGCCCCCGAGTAGCCAAAGTTCTCAAGTTTGCTGGCCTGAGTTTAACCTCGATATAAGTAATTAATTTTTCCTTTCTACTTTAATCACTTAACCACACCTCCGACCACTTGGAGGAACCTCATGGACAACCTTCATAAGTTTAATTCAAGACTTGGGGCTTACTAGCCCTGAGAATTGGCATCCATGCCACTCAACCTTTTTACTTGGTCCAAGTGCTTCACATGTCCGATCCAATGACTGACACCCCAAGGTACCACCGACATACTAGCCCATTACGCTAAAGCCATGCCCATTCACCTTGGTCACATCGGTGGTCTAACACCACCTGCATCACAGTCATGTCTCTCAAAGACTAAGCTATCCATCCATGAGTGACTATCTTAGGTCCACTCTTTAGCATTCTAAAGATGCCTGCAGACATGGGGAATAACCTTCCTCAATATCCTTTTTACAGTCTCCACCAAGTCCCTTTTCTGTCCATGGCCGTGTTCACCAATACCACCACTGGGACAAGGCCCACAAGCCTGACTACTAAGTCCCATCGTCCTCTAAGATTTCCTCACCACATGACTGTATTCTTGGTCACTACACCAAAGGACCACTCTTCTTCCTTTCCATAGTCTGGGACTTTAGAACAACATTTCAAAACACTGTGGCCTTATGCGAGCCTTATGGGTACGCTCCCCACTTTCCGCCTTTGGGTGCTCTAGCCATGGGCCTAGAGCGAAGTTCTGTTAAGCCATGCCAAGTATCCAAGTAGATAGTGCCACCCACTCTTGGACTGGGAGTATTGGCCATTCGATCTCCCAAGGGAACTAGAGCCGGCTTTTGAACACTTCACCAAGCTACCCTGCTTGTCGGTCCGTATTCACTTTAGCCTTGGACTTCCCAATGGTTATCCCATCACTAGATCTCCCAACAAATCCATCTTGATGAACTACTATTCTAGTTGTCTAGAGTCTGACAAAGTACTTGGCATCGAGCCCCTATTCCAAATTTGGAGGACTCACATTGCTCTTTCAGGATGGCATTCCCTGCCTCCAAGTTCTCTAGAACAACACCTTGCTAGTTGTTGAGCTCATCCCAGAAGCAATCACCAGCAATGTCAATGATCTCCTCAAGGTAAAGTTTTTCTTGTTCTACTTTGTCTCCATCACGTGAAAGTGAATGCATCATGTCCCAAGATGTCCATCACTTCCAACTACATCTACCTGTTCGATTCAGCCATTGCCCTTGCTCTGGAACTCATAGATGAGGAGCATCCCCAGCTCTACAAGCCAATCATGAGTGGTAGGGCTGGCAATGGCATTGGAGCCATGTGGAGGAGGAAGCTATGTGCTCAAAATGCAGCTTGAGGAGGAGGATGTGTCCAAGATTTGAGGAGCTTGATGATCATTGGGAGTTTCTTCAAGCAAGTTTTCTTCCTCAATAAGAAGAGGCAATTGTCAAGAGAGAGGCAGCAATAGGGATCTTTATGGCATAGGGATATTTGTGGTGGTCAATGGCCACCCAAGAGCTCTAGGGTTTGTGGAGAAGCGGGAGAGGAGGTGACCAACACCACCACAGGGGTGGTCAGCAGCCACTAAGTGGAAAGCCTAGGAGCTCTAGGGTTTATGGATGGTTGCCATGCTTGACTCATGCATATGCTCTCTTCCATCCTAGTTCTCACTTCTTTCCCTAGGGCTGGACTAGTAGTGGAGTGCTATGGCCAGCATTTTGGAGCAGTGGAGCGCCAAGTGGAGTGCCATGGCTATCCAATAGAGGAGTGCCATAGGAAATTAATTGATCCAGTTTGCTATTAGCACTCAGTTCTATGATGAGCATTTACTATTTGAATTTGTGGGCGGAGACTAGGTGCTGGGGTAAAGAATTGCTAGGGAATAAGCGTGGACAGTAGGCAACAAAAAATGTTGCATGTTATAAGTCTATGGCCCTCCTACATTGCTTATCAATTTTTTTTGGCTCCTGAAAAACTCTTGTGAGGAATTGTGTGGGCATGAGAACAACAGCTCTTAGGGTTCTTGTAGGGCTTGATTGCTGTGTGCTGGTGATTGTATAGGGGATGTTATTTAGAAACCATTGGGCCAAGAATATAATTTCCTAACTTGGATACTATGATTAAAATTCATTTTGACTTTCAATCAGTTAATATAACTAAGATGGCACTTATCTTGTCTTACAATTTTCTTCTTTATGTATATGTTTCGTTTATAGATAGAGTCACCCCTCACTAATTGATAAGCTATATTGATGTATTGATTGGGCAATTACAACAATTCCATATAGATTGCCTCTCTCTATTACATTTCAAACATGACGTTGATGCTCAAGGTGTGGGTTAGCTTAGTCTTAGTACAAATAAATTAAACACCTTTATAAATCTTACAAACATAGAATATCAGGTTTTAAATTTATAGTTTATATCTTAATAACAATTATGTTTTTGTATTTCTTCTCTTAATTTTACTTGGGTCTGGGTAGTAGATTAGTGTTCTTAAACTTTATTGTTTTATATTCTAAAAAAAGAACATGGCAAAGTAATTATTTGCTAATATCTATATTACTTAAAATTAAATTGATTTATTTCGATTCCATTTCTAGGTGTTTGAGTTTAAGGATATGTACAATATTTTTTTAGGTTATGTTTGGGTCTTAGTAATATATTAATGTTCTTAATCTTGGTTATATATTTATTCATATTCCAAGTAAACATAAATAATATATACTAATTAATAATAATTAATCTTAGTAGTTCTTCTTTACATTTCTATGAGTCTGGGTCAGTGTTACGAACACGGCCGGGATCCCAGCCGTGTTCACCGTGTTTCACGAACACGGCCATGGGTCGTGTTCCCACGGCCGTGTTCGTGAACAGTGGTCCGTGTTACTAACACGGACCGTGATCCCGGTGACCACGGCCGGGATCACGGTCCATGTTAGTAACACGGGTCTGGGTAGTAATATATAATCCCAGTAAAAAACATACTTTACATGTAAATTCTAATTAATAAAATTTATTTTTAGTAATTCTTCTTTTATTTTTTATTGTCTGAAAGTGTAATAAATATATTTATTTTTATAACTATAAAAACATTATAATTAGAAAATTTATTTTAATTGTTTTCTGGGTTGAGTATTAAAATCTTAGTATTCTAAATATATTCATATTCCAAAGTAATAATGCATATAATATATTTATCAATAATATTTACTGAGTAATTCTTCTTTTTCACTTTGGGAATATATTAGTGTTCTAAATATATAGCATATGCTGTATAGTATTGTGTGTTTATATATATACCTATAAAAATATCAAAAGAAAAAGTTGTTTAAAATTATTGATTTTTGTACTAGCATTTGCTGCGCAATATGCACTAAAGGTGATTCCATATTAAAACACATTGGCTCTAGTCTACTAGTAATCTATATAATGGACATCATGTATTAACCTAATATCTACTAGGACAAATTCACATTTAGACCGTCCATAAGATTGGGTTATACAGGACATGCCACCAAAACACCTCATTTCTCAGTGACATTCAATCAAAGAGCGCTTTTGTTTTGATCCCAGGTTGCTAGGCTCGTTTACCGAGATTCCCAAGATTGTCCTTTGTCGAATGTTTGCATAAACTCCCGCCCTCGGCAGCCATGGGGCTGGCGCCAGAATTTATCTGTGTTAGGCGGGGACAAGTGCTAGTGACAGAGAGATGATGGACGGAGACAAAGTAGACGTGAGCATACATCACAACCACATATGACACTCAAATATATGAGTATATATTTTTGGATGCTGAAGTGTGTTCAGATAGATAGACAAATAAATTCTTAAGAGTGAAGAATACTTGGTTACAAATATACTTATTCTATGAATATATTGTAGTTTAAAGAATGAAATACTAATAAGAAGGAGATTCTACAATTAGAAAGGAGATATTCAGAGATTCTGGGAGTTTCTTATTCACCACATGACAACGAACACAAAAAGAAGCTCTGCTGCAAAGCTACAAACTTAGGACAAAGAGAATGGAGTTTCATCGATCGATCGAGGAAACTCCTCTCGATTCTGAGAGAAACAGCTAAAGGGAATGGAAATCGCTGCAGAGCTGGCTCGGATGCTTAGCCGGAAGATCTTACGAAGCCTTGGCTGCGTCCTGCAAGTAGCGGCTGATATCACCGCCAGTGCCCTGCGTCTTCTCGCTCAAATGATGTGCGGACTCAGCTATCCTCCTCCTCACCGTGTCGATCTTGTCCGAGCCTGGAGGGTGTCCGCCGCGCATGTACTGGTAGAGCCACGACACCGCAGAGCAAAACACCGCAAACATCCCGGTGCCGATCACGAAGAGCGTGCCAAGCGGCACCAGCACGGGGCTAAAGAAGAGCAGGAAGGGCGAGGCGATGATAAAGCCCACCACCGTCACGGTGATCACTGTGCCCGCCAGCGCTAACGCCGCCAGAATCCC